GGGGTAAACTGCGCTCTCTGACATTCGAGTAACACATGGTGCATCTAAGACTACCAGTGCATGAGTTATGAAATTTGTTGGAAGGATCCTAGTAGTTACAATTGTCCCTGCTTTTTGGTAAAGGATTGTCATTGGTGCCATGGAAGTCAAGAGTAATAAGGTCCCACGTTCACTGGCTAAATGCTATGGAATGATGAAGGCTTTCTTTCAAAGAATAAGCTGATTATTAACGATCAGGTACACTTTGGCCATTTCTCAGGGCTCCCTAGGAGGTAAGGTGTTAATTTAATTTGGCTTACTATTTTAGGAACGTTAGCCCTTCCTTGCCTTGTCATGCCCAGCCACGCATGTATTAAAAAAGTAGTTTTCCTAGCAGTTTGCGTATTTCGATATATCCAATAACCTGAAGTTCTTCAATACAGTCGGTGACAAATGTGATATAGTTGAAGTCATTGTCTTCAGAGCGCCGAAAGATTTATTTGCCTCCATATTTGGTGTTTGATAACCATAATCGATGGTGCCTTAGCTGGTCGGGATCGTCATTCCCAGCATTTACACTTCGATCGCAGAGTATAATACGTCATTTTTGCAGGATCAGCTTGTGTTTGGTTGCAGCAAAATGTCTTTTCAGTGACATTGCATTGCATCTGACCCCTTTGATTGTGTGGCCACCTCGGTGTCTTTGAGGCGGTTCTCAACCACTAACGACAAAACCATACGCTTATTTGACGAAGATCATCGATGTGCTTCTGGAACAGTGGAATCCGATGACGTAGAAGTACGAAGGAATAGTCATGCCTTAGCGTACGAGTTAAGGTTTTACGGGATAAAACAATGTTTTAGTGCGTCTATTTTCGTTATCACCTTCTCACTAACACTTCCCATGCATCGGGTTGCATGGGAATTCGCGTGAAATAAATACGCGCATCTGCTACGGATGCGAAGCCCGTCTTCGAAGGATACTCAGTCGCTTGAACTATTGCGCTGCCGATAATTTCTTTCATCACTGTAAAATATTATTCTCTTTTATGCTTGAGATTACGGTTTGAGTAATTGAATCAGGTTGTATTACTGGGACTATTTAAAGGCGCCGAGAACAATTTCTAGCACTAGAACCAGTGTTTAAGACTCAACTATTCACAGTAGTCCTGAACTGCTCTTATTACCGATGGTATAACGCCAATTCACTGGTCAAATCACCAAGATTGAAAATTAAGCTTTTTGAGTCCACACTTGGGATTATTCTCTTTTTAACATTGTTAGTGGGTATTCATTCGTTCTTTTTGAAGTGCATCATTTCGTTTGGCCGTGGATGTACCGGTGTTTGCAAACATTTGGGACGAGAATGTTAAACTTTTCCGAACCTCGTTTAGCAAATAATGAGGTGTAATAGCATTGATATTGTTATTTTGTTCTCTCAAGATCGGGCCAAGCTTTCAAAACATCCACCACCATCAAGTAAGATATATTTTATTAGCTGTGTGATGTCTTGCTTTTTATGTGCAAACAATTTTTATGATGCTTTTAGCTACTCACTTGTTTACTGCTTTTTCGCGTGCTAAAAAACTTCTTCAAAATTATTCACGGCAGGTCATCGTATTTTAACAACACCTCAACATCCACGTCGCGGACCAGAAATACCTCCTTTGGATTTCAACATGCTTCACTCACAGTTGTGCTACTAGTTCCAAAAAATACGACTTTATGAAAGAAACTTCTAGAGAGATAGAAAGTGCTGGAGACGATTAGAGTTGCATCCCATCACCTTGGTCACCGATTGTATTGGCAATATCACGGAAGTAGAAAGTGAAGGGAATCTGAGGTTTGGAATAAGATCTTTTTCATAGGAATTTATCCTTCAGTTACCGCTTATGCAAGCGGAAAAGGAACACTGGTGGTCTTGAAAATGCGACCCTAAAAAAATATACTGTGCAACTAAGTCAAAATTTGGGCATCAGGCTTTGGATGGTGGGTGA